GAAGGACACCTAAAGTTGGACTAAGGGTGGCATTAATTTATAACTATTTAAGGAGTTTAATTTGTTAGAAAAGAGTAAATAACTTTGGTACATCAAACTGCTATTTGGAAGTTTGCCTTGGCTGTATAGAGAATGTTATGTGAGAAGTTTGCTTTATTTTCACAGTTGAAAGCTTCATTGACTCACACAAGATACTTTAGACTAATATCCTGTGGCACTGCAGTGACCTACATGTAATTATTGCATGCTTCTTCCAAAATATTTGTACACAACCAGAAATTATAGCCTAAGTTACCAACAAGTTTTTGGTTTATACCAGCAACACAAAGATGGACTTCAATTAGTGGTAACCTAGCTGTCTCATGTTTTTAGCCATTTTTTAGACAAATGTTTGGTTTATCTTCTGGTGACAATTTTCCTTACATAAACATATTTATCCTCTTAAATGATGTTTAAAAATCTCCATCTCTCCTATCTCCCTCAGATTTGAGGGGCTGGGGTGAGGAGGAGGATCAAAGATCTTGGTATCCCTATTAATGCCCTCTTCAAAAGAAGTGTGAGATCTTAAGTATTTACTAAGTATTTAGTTTCATTTTGGTATTAATCGCACCAATTTAAAAAGGGGTGTGAGAGATGTGGGGAGGTGGGAAGGGCAATGTTTTTAGAGAAAAAGGTGTATATGAGGTAAACATTCAATAATTGGGAGTAGTATCGTTTAGTTGATTCCTCAAGCTTGTCAACATCCCCCAAAATAACATGGCTCTTAGCTCAGTAGTTTCATTTTGCTTTATGTGCCATAATTTTGAGATGGTGCTTAGAGATTCAACAGCTATTCTGGCAAATATTGCTTGAAGAGTCATAATTCCTTCCAGTGCCAGACATGTTAGGTGTTTTGTTTACCATACAACTAATTTGTGAAGTTACAACAATGTGTAACTGTTTTTTCCTGCAGCGTTTCCTGAGTCAACTCAGAGTCCTACTCAGCTTCTGTTTAGTGTGCAGCGTCAGTTTTCAACTCCCCCAGAATATTCCCTACTTGGTTGATTCTCTAACTAAAATGTTTACTATGCCATTTAGCACTATGCCATTTAGCATGAACAGGTTGACATCTGGGCCCCCTCACTGTGAACTCTCTCCAAACACTCAGTCTGCTTCTGTCTATAGCACTGAAATTGAGCATTACCTCACCACTGCAACCTCACTATGAAAGCACGTTTGTCTAATTACCATTCATTCCTAGACTCCCTGAAGCATCAAACGTTTGACCACCCTAGCACAAGTCCTGCCTGACTTTGCCTTTTTCCTTTTTTTAAAAAACAGTGCATTCTATCCACTGTCAGCATTTCAGATTTCCCTCATCTGGGCTCAGTCTTCTTGCGAAAGTAACACGATGTGGGAAAGCCTTCATCATTTATTTGTTGCATAGGTTCACACTAGATACTCTTCTGTCTTCTACCATTAGATGACATTTTCTCTATTAATTCAGCCTATCTGAATGCTTTCCTTCAAAATCAATGCAAGAGTGATCTAAAGACCATTTTGCACAGCAAGAGACTATAAGATTTCTCCATTGCTGAATTACAGCTAGTTTACGCTTCCATTTTTACCCCCAGACAGATTAATTTTGATACTGCACTTTAGATTGTTTCCTGTAACTAGTGCTCCCATTTATTTATATACACATATTACTTTGGTAAACACACCCATCATTATATATCAAAGGGGTAGCCGTGTTAGTCTGGATCTGTAAAAGCAGCAAAGAGTCCTGTGGCACCTTATAGACTAACAGACGTACTGGAGCATGAGCTTTCGTGGGTGAATACCCACTTCTTCGGAAAATTTCCAGAGGCAGGTATAAATATGCAAGCAAGAGTGAGTCAGGCTAGAGATAACGAGGTAGTTCAATCAGGGAGGATGAGGCCCTCTTCTAGCAGTTGGGGTGTGAACACCAAGGGAGGAGAAACTGCTTTTGTAGTTGTCTAGCCATTCACAGTCTTTGTTTAATCCTGAGCTGATGGTGTCAAATTTGCAGATGAAGTGAAGCTCAGCAGTTTCTCTTTGAAGTCTGGTCTTGAAGTTTTTTTGTTGCAGGATGGCTACCTTTAAATCTGCTATTGTGTGTCCAGGGAGGTTGAATTGTTCTCCTACAGGTTTTTGTATATTGCCATTCCTAATATCTGATTTGTGTCCATTTATCCTTTTACGTAGGGACTGTCCAGTTTGGCCGATGTACATAGCAGAGGGGCATTGCTGGCATATATTACATTGGTGGACGTGCAGGTGAATGAACCGGTGATGGTGTGGCTGATCTGGTTAGGTCCTGTGATGGTGTCGCTGGTGTAGATATGTGGGCAGAGTTGGCATCGAGGTTTTGTTGCATGGATTGGTTCCTGAGTTAGAGTTACTATGGTGTGGTGTGTAGTTACTGGTGAGAATATGCTTCAGGTTGGCAGGTTGTCTGTGGGCGAGGACTGGCCTGCCACCCAAGGCCTGTGAAAGTGAGGGATCGTTGTCCAGGATGGGTTGCAGATTTAAAGGTAGCCATATTTATACCTGCCTCTGGAAAATTCCACTACATGCATCCGAAGAAGTGGGTATTCACCCACGAAAGCTCATGCTCCAATACGTCTGTTAGTCTGTAAGGTGCCACAAGACTCTTTGCTGCTTTTACATCATTATATAGTATACCCTATGTTTTCCAGATGAAAATTGATATAGTTATTCACTGAATCAAGATCCTTCTCAACAGGTAATACGTACTGCAAGAGAGTGAAATTGAAATACAGTAGTTATAGCCTCAATTTTTTTTCTCACTTCTGATATTTTTCACTGCCTTACAACTGAAGTGTTAAGTGTGTGGTACATTTCATAACATTAAAAACAATGAATAAAAGAAGACAGTTCCATAAGCCATACTAGATTTATTTTGCCCTACTGAAAATTCCAAAACAAATCCCCAGTATGGACCTGGGCGGACCATGTGCATGAAGTAATCCCAGAATAGTGCATAAGTGATGTCCTAAAGCACATCCTGAATCAAGCAGTAGAAACTGGACGAAAAAAATACAGAAACTGACGGTACACATCACAGTACACAGTACACTTCAAGCGTATAACATACATATATATCATGTTCCAGTTACAGTAAAAAGATGTTACGTGTGATAAACAGATTTTCAGATGGAAATACTATTTTCAAGTGGGTGCCCTTTTAAAGACATTAGAATCTGAAACACTGAATACTTTTTAGACCAGTGGTTCTCAACCAGGACTCCGGGGCTCCTGGGGGGGCCGCAAGCAGGGCCGGCATTAGACTTGCTGGGGCCCAGGGCAGAAAGCCAAAGCCTCACTGCATGGGGCTGAAGCCCCGGGCCCGAAGCCCCGTCACCTGGGGCTGAAGCCAAAGTCTGAGCAACTTAGCTTCGTGGGGCCCCCTGTTAAAGAGCCAACTACAAGGGTCTTTCTTTCCTGAATCACTGACACGCAGTTCAAGATAGCATCTTACGGCTTTCAGCTATCTTTTAGGCTGCATTTTGTTTCATTTGATAAACTTATAAAAGCTACTGACTACTGAAGTGTGTGTGTGTGTGTGCGCGCGCGCGCGCATATGTGTATGTGTATATATATATTATATATAAAATATAATATAAAAAGAAGAGAAACAAATATAGAAGGCCTGAATAAGTTATGTGAGTCTCTAAATAGCTGCAACCAGTCTCAACACACGCCTTGCTGCTTAGAAGAAAGGCCAGAAAAAGTGTTCTGTTATCGAGTGCCAGGAGTCACAAGACAGTTGCCTACTACTTCGTTTCAAAGTACCATTCCCCAGCACACAAGACGTTCTGAGCTCTCTAGTTTCTTTGTGGGACAGCACACTATCTGGTCCTCATATCATGCACTGTTAAGAAATTTTAATTAATTCAGAGAGAAGGTGCATTTACAAAAAAGGTAGCAAGTTATGTAGCACCTATTGTGTGGAGGTAAATTGTGGATGTTTATTTCAATCTAACCATTTCATTTAAAAAAGGAATCTGAGGAAAATATTAGGTTTCAGTTTGCTCCATTGAAGAACTTTTCTAGAAAACCAAAAATGAGGTAATGCAACATCTTCATACCTTTGGCCCAGATTAGATTTGTACTTGGGTCTCCAGTCACAAATGAAGATTTTTTTTCAAATCATTTCATTCTAGTGCAAGTTTGTGGATCTCACAAATTATCCACAGCTTTTTGGCCTAAGTGCAGTGTCTACTTCACGAGAGCTCCAGGACTAATAGCGGGGCTGGTGAAATGGAACTCTTTAGGGGGTAGAGAGGGGTGGAAAGGAGGGAAAAAATATTTATATGAGGACACCTTTTTTCCTGTGTGAGCACCCCAATTTGATTAAGTGTCACTGTAAAACTCTCAGTGTGAAGAGCCACTCAAGCCAGCTTTCCATCCGATAATTTTGCTTCTAAGTCCCATCCCCCTGCTCTCAGCCATCAGATCTAAGAAGATTACTTTGCTTTTTGTGCAGCTTTATGAAGTACATTAAAACCAGTAAAGACCACACATATCTTTAAAAGCAAATAGGCAGCTATTTATAAACCCCTTGAATTTTTCATCAGCAACAGGCTGCTAAGCACTATTGTGGCACCTAGAATATGCAGTATAATATACCCAATTACTGCTATAAGCAAATTATCCAGACTTCTTAATTAAATGAAACATTGCCTAGCATAATGAAATTCAGGAGAGGATATTAAATATTATTGCTTCATTCACTCCAAACATCCTTCATTAACGGCAAGAGAGCTTCTGATATCTTGGTACTTACAAACCTTTTACAGCTTTGAAGTCTGGTTGCAGATAGTATTCTCTTGCCAGTGTTGCCCTGCTCAAGGACAAGATACATAAATATTTCTAAGCATCTTAGGGTTCTCCTTCTACCTTTACACTGAAGTAATCAATTGTCAGCTTAAACGAGAATCTGTGATAGAAAAGTACTTCTACTTAATACTCACATGCTTACTAGCAGGTTGACTCTGAGGTAAAGATCCAGGAGCCAGTACCGGAGAGCTTGTAGGACTGCAAAGCTCTGGAAATGGATTTGGTATGGCTGGCAAAGAGGATGTTCTAAACTGCTGTTCTTCTTCTTGGAGACGTCTACAAACACATAAGAACTGAATATTAAAAGAAGAAATTAAGTCTCCTGACTAACCCACTGCCCTCCATTCAGCATATTGATATTGTACACCGTTTAGGAAAGGGGATCAAACAAACTTTGTTCTAAACAAAGGTATTTTTTCACAATAACATGCATACAATTACAGTGATTGAATGAACAAATTAGGTAATGCATGTGAAAAGTCAGTCATGCATCCAAGCTTTTTTTGCCGCATCTAACTTGATTATTTGTGTGCATAATTGAGGTAATTGTGCACACAAATTAAATGCACATTTTGGTGAGAAAAAAAATCAGACCTATATCACAGATAGCAAGGGCTAAACTGAAGACTGTTAGTTTATGTTCTACATGCCAGAAGTACATATACGTGAGCTCGTTCCAATGGATGCAATCCAAGAAAAGGGCTGCTACTGCCAAATTCTGGATCTGAACAATCCTGCCAGCAGAATCCTTGTAGACTTTGCCACCAGTCCTAGAGCTCTAGCATAGAAGCAGACTGCTGAAGTGTCGCAGTTGATCGTAACTAGATCCTAACAATGTTTCACCTCAGTAGTTACAATCAACTAGGATACTCCTATGCTAGAGTTCTAGGACTGGTGGCAAGGCCTACAAGAACTCTGCTGGCAGGATTGTTCAGATCCAGAATTTCACAGCCTTCACGGTCCAGTATAAAGGCACACCTGTTTAAACAGGCTGATAGGCAAGATTTGGTTTTGGTGGGAAGTGGAGTGCCAGTCATAACTATGGGCTATAACAGTGTAAATTTGACTTGTCTAGCCAGGTGGTGGAAGTTTTCCCCACTTGTGTCTAAACAATATGATGAAAGAGTTATCTAGATGCAGTAGAGCTACCTGGAATTGGTCATTATATATTTTACAGTAAGATTCCCTATAATCAAGACAGCCTCTTGTGCGCCAAGCTTATAGACAGCCTATGATCAGAGACTTGCACTGACCTCCAGTATAGTGAAGTGGAATAGAATAAAAAATTTCTTCAATGCATTTAGAAGGTCTCAACTCAGCACACATCCCTCTTGTTGACATCTCCCACTAGCTAACTTAGGGGAGGAGCAGTCTCGCCGGCTTTTGTGATCCCATTGGAAGGCACCTATCTCTCCTCATTCATCGTATAGGTGTTTAACTCAGGCTTTGTGAGGCCATGTGATTTTCTAGGCAACTAAAAGTTAAGCATGGTGACGGACGGATTAACTATCCTGCGGGCCTGGGGCCATTAGATTTTGTGGGGCCCCTGTATACAAGTCTTTTTCCTAATTTAAAACAAAAGTGATCACAATTATGGCATCGAGGCTATTAACACTATACTAAACTTGCCTTTTAATTAACAAAGCCGTTCTGTGGTTACATTTCAGTCTTAAAACATGTAGAATATAGTAAAGTTAATTCAAAATAGCCTACTTCTTACCTTAGAACAGCTGTTATATTAGTTTCTTTCTGGGAGGGAGTTTGTATGCAGGAGGGGGATCCATTCTGGGGAAGAGTGTTGCGGTGCAGGAGGGGGTGTGAGATGCGGGCTCTGGCCGGGAGGCACTTACCACAGGCGGCTCCCGGCGGGCAATGCAGCAGGGCTCAGGGAGGCTGCCTGCCTGCTTGCCGTGGTCCCACGCTGCTCCCGGAAGCGGCTGGTTGCTGGCATGTCTCTGCGTGCCCCTGGGGGGAGGGGGACAACATGTCTCCGTGTGCTGCCTGTGCAGCTCCTATTGGCCAATTCCAACGGAGCGCACGGAGCTGCCTCCCCTCCCGCCCCCGCCAGGGGCCGCACAGACGTGCCAGCAGCCAGCCGCTTCCAGGAGCAGCATGGGGCCAGGGCACGTAGGCAGCCTGCCAAGCCCTGCTGTGCAGGGGCCCCGGGCTGCAGCCCCTAAAGCCCTGCGTTCATCTGCCCCTGCATGGTGATGCTGAGCCTAGGTAAATCTAGGCCCTACTGTACTAGTGCTTGTGGAACTGCACAGAGTTAAGAGAGTCAGATTCTTCTCTGATAAGTTTGTTATGCTTGGGAATGCCAAGGAAACAGTTTTAAAAAAAAAACAAATGCATCTTCCCCAGAGGATTATCACTGTGCTACGTGATGCCAATACCATGCCTAGAATGGACACCAGAACAGCTTGGCCAGAAAGCATTGGGCATTTCTTTGTGAATATGACCATGAATGGTAACAGGGAGCTTCGTGCCCCACTGGTCTCCTAGTTTCTGACATTGATTTCCAATAGAAGAACATAAATGCATGGACTTCGTATTTGAAAGATGGATGAACCTGCAAAGCACTAGTTCACATTCTGATAGCCAATTGGTGGAGAAGCTGTATATACGACTGTTGGCAGTACTGACCACAGATGGTTGTGCCAATGGCAAAACTGAAGTTGAAGGCTACTCAAACCAAGCCTTCCATTAGTGAGTTAGACTTACAGAAACTGACTTATACTGCTGTCAAAATGGAATACCAGGCTGAAATCTGCAAATGATTTGACACACTAAACTTTGCAGATGAAAGCTTTTAACACAAGCAAGTCAACAATTTTTGTGACTGTTTCCTCTTATGGACGCTGCCAACAAAGTGCTGGGGAAAAGGCATGCTAGCCTAAACATCAATGGGCAAGTCAACAGACCATGGATATCATAAAAAAAACATGGCTTGGCTCACTTAATCGAGAACAACCGAAAATCACCTATGCCTCAATGCCTTGCGTTTAACAGCTTTAAAGAAGGACCGTGAGATGTTTTGGGCAAATTAGGCTCTATTGATGGAAGCTGTATTGGCCACACACGACTACAGCACAGTCTATAAAGAACTGCATAACTTAAAAGCTGGTCCATGGAACAAATCCTTGCTCATCAAGGATCGACACAGTAACATACTCAGCACCAAGGCGGAATGAGTAGATAGAAAGAACACTTTCAGGAGCTTCTTAAGTGCTTCTTCAGAGCAGCAGATTTGCAGTTCCAGGTGGACCCAAAGAGTCCAGTGACCACCCTCTGTGTAATGTGATGTCACGGTGAAGTAGATTCGAAGTGCAGCCTGTAAGCTCAAGAACAGTCGTACTGCCAGTGTTTGTCGTATTGCTGTTGAGCTGATCAAGCACGATGGAGATTCTGTCTTGGAGTGGCTGACCCACGTTATCAACAAAATCTGGATTCATGAGAAACTATCCAATGAATGCTGCCATGGGATTAATTCTTCCATTTTGGAAAAGGAAAGGCCATAATCTGGTGTGTTCCAATCACTGCAGCATCATTTTGCTTTCCATTTCAAGCAAATTGTTCATGCTGGTTCTTCCCAAGCATGTTAAACCCACCATAAGGAATCTATGCTATCTACAGCAAGTCAGGTTTATGCCCAGCTGGATCAACCATGGAGCAGATTCTTACCCTTAGACAAATTATTCAAAAAGCCCAAAAGTTTCAATGCAGGAAGGATGAGGTGTATATAGCCTTTATTGATGTGAAAACTGCCTTTGACTCTGTTGATTGTTGATCCCTTTAGCTTTGCCTGCAAGCTGCTGGTGTGCCCGGCAAGCTCCTCAACCTTCTTGTAGAAATGCACTGCCAAAGTGAGAGCTGTGTTCTCTTAGGTACTAGAACGTCCAACTAGTTTGAGTACAACAGTGGCGTCCGTCAAGAGTGAGTGGCTGCCCTGATCTGCTCAACATCATTATTGAACAAATGATGGAAGCGGTCACTAGGTGCAGATTGGGAGTGATACTGCATAACAGGCTTGGAATATGCTGATAACATGGCTATATTCATATCCTCATGAACTAATCTCATTCATGTACTGAAAATATTTAAGGAAATAACACGTAAGCTTGGTCTGCAAGTCAACTGGAAGAAGACCAAACTGATTAACGTGGCTGATGGACCTCTACCCCATCCACCATAATCGATGGACAAGAAGTTGAATTTGTCAGCTTATTTGAATATCTTGGTTCCACTGTCACCAAGAAAGGAGGTTGCCTTCCTGACATGACATCAAATCAGTAAGACTACGAGTGTTGTGCCCACTTTTTGGAAGCCTCTGTGGCAACACCACCACATATCAACTCAGACTAAGATGTGTATCCAACAAGCAGCAGTGGCTTCGGTCCTTTTGTAGAACTCTGAAACCTGGGCCACCACAGAAACACAAATGTGCCAGCTGGATGCTATTGACATGAAATAGCAATGATGTATTGAAGGCATATGGTGATTTCGTCACGTTACAAACAAGGTTGTCCGACACAGGACCAATCAGCCTCTTACGTCTTCCCACGTTATTAACCTCACCTGCTCAACCTTAATATAGAGCAGGCAGGTCAGGCTTTCTGGAAACAGGTGATCCAAAGTGTGCACTATGTGCTCCACAAGCAGGAGAATTAATGAATGAATTTGTGTTTCTCACTTCATTTGGAAAGGCTACTTGTTAACTGGAGGGAAAACCCCAAATATATTTGCGGACTGGATGAAAGCAAATCAGCATGTCCAGTTAAACCAACAGCAGGGTTTTTTTTAAAAAACAAAAATAAACAAACAAGATTAAGAACCTTTTGTTACACATAAAAACCTTCAACTACTATTTAAAAAAAAAAAAAAAAAAAAAAAAAAGAGTATCTTTAAATCAGTTTGCTTTTCCCAGCATGGAACTTGCTGCTTGCAAGGTTGAAGTGAAAGATTAAAGATACTTCCACTTTCAGCTTCTTATTCACTAGCATACTGCTGCTATGTCTGGAGTTGAAGATGCTTTATTGTAGCGGTTCTCAAACTCTCGGTTAGGACCCCAAAGTGGGTCACGACCCCGTTTTAATGGGGTCGCTAGAGGTGGCATTAGACTTGCTCTGTTAATATAAGGTTTTATAAATTTGTAACACAAACCTGCTGTTTCAGTTTGGGCCTCATATAGGCAAATGCACCTGTAGAGAAGTATCTAATGGCCACTACAGAAGGTAAAGTGTTTCTATTAAACTAACAAGATATTTTGAGTAGATACTGTGCATGACAGCACATTTGCATGAAGGATATTAACTGAATCCAAACATGGAAGGTCACTTGAGCAAGCCCAAACTAAAGACATGGCCTCCAAGTAATACAGACAATATACAAGATTGTATTTTCTGTCTTAGTTGGTAAGCCATCTTTCTCTTAAAAAAAAACAGAACAAAAATCAAGTGCATCACCACTTAGTACCATTAAGCAGCTGTCAGATATAAATCATAAGATGATCTGGGTTCTTTCAGTTAGCCCAAGACAAACAAACATAAGAGTCCCTCTATCTTGTCCTCTTTTCATACCTGACTGCCATAATGCGCACTGGCTGAGACCGCTGCACCTTCTGCCTTGGAGACATGGGCTGCAGAGAACTTGTTCCTGAGGTTGGCAGTTGGCTGCGATTAAGCTGGCCATTTTGAAGGAGGGGAGTGGTTTCTGACTGCATACCGCACACTGAGTACAAACTTTCAAATGAGGAGTTCATGTCATTTACCAAAGCTTCTAGATCCACATCATCATCTGAAAAACAAACAAAATACAGATGGCATTACACATTTGAAGGCTAGAACTACTACAGAAATTTAGAAGGATAAAGACAATTTACAGAGCTTTTCACTTGACCAGAGCTCGGAGAGCCGAAGAGAGCACATATTTTCATATTATGAGCTCTCTTCCCTGTCCAGGTTTTTGTTATAGAAAGCTTTTTCAGAGTCAGATCACAATTAAAAAAGGCAGAACACACTTTTGACAACCATTTGACTATTTAGAAATACGAAGACTGCTGTATCTACTGCTGGTAGTGAGTCTATTTTACCCTGCACTGTGGATGTAATAGCAGTCCCTCATTCAGTGTCAATGTCAGTTACTAAGAGCAGTGAATTTTTATCTTTTCAGGTCTTTTCAATAAGATTAACTTTGATTTCTAAAACAGTATGCCGTGTATTGGAAGCATTACCTCACTTACTATAAGGATTCATATACACATTTTAAACTCAATGGCTTTTCAAATTCTCTCTGAACTTAAGAATTTTTGAGTATTCAGAGCACCAACAGATAGTATGACAAATGTTAAACTGTAAGATGCAAGAACCTAGACCGATTAAACCTTCTACAGAGGAGACTTAATAGGGGAAAAGAGATCCCAAGTTGGGCAAGTTGGAAAGCCACTGTGATGGTGTATCAAAATCAATCATTGGCTATCTGCCATTAGCCCTCCATCTCTTCAAATTTTTAGACTGCAGTGCTGACCAATGAAGGGAGTGGACGGGAGAGGGGAAATAATACAAACACTTTTTTAAAATCCCTATTATGTTGTCCTCAATCTCCCCCAGTCCTCGAACTTTGAGTAGCCATGCAACCTACAGTAAATCTGCAATCTTTGCTCATTCATTCTTTGTTGGCTAGTTTAACTATGGGTACTTTGCGAGACAATAAACCCTGAGAGTCTTTTAAACTTAATACCCTCTAAATCCTCATTCCTGGAACACTTATTATAATAGATATTCCCTAGCAACAAGTTACCTCAACAATTACATAGCACTACCCAGTTAAAACATGTTTCCTACCCCAAACAGCTTCCGATGTTGCTCCCTCACCCCCTCATTTTCTAGATAAACATCTATAAGTTTCCTTCAAGCCACTGTCAGTGGGTGTTCTGCCTGTGATACTTCAATAATCAGTTTTAATGCAGTAGTGGAGACAGCTGCTGTTGAAGTCCTCATAATGTGTTGGTTTGATGACTGCACCTGAAATAGCATTGCTGAATTTCTGTTCAACTACATATCTAATTAAACTGTAGCAGTGTTCAGGGCTCATTATAATGTCCAATGAAATAGTTTTGGACACTGCCACCCACAATTCATGATGTATATGACAAGCCAAGAACCTGCTCAAAACAAAACACCATAGAAATATCCAGAGGTATATTAAATACTGGGTCACATTTTCAAAAACAAAAGTAGTGACTTAGAGCCTAAGTCCCATTTGAAGTCAATGGGACTTTCAACAGAGCCTAAGTCACTTTAGTTTAATTGAAAGTGTTACCCAGGATATTTCTAGATTAAATATAGCCAATACAGAAGCAGCAAGTGCATTTGTTCCATTTTTGTATGGTTTTGTTTGTTCCTGGACCTTTGTACTTTATGGCTGTTACCAATTGCTAAAGCACATCTTCACCAGACTAGACCGCCTCCTCTACTTTTTTGCCAGTTTACACATCCTTATGTAAGAGGATAAATTTAGTTATATCTAAACTTATCTACACCTTCCAAGTGTATCTTAAGTTTCACTCCCTCCCTCAGATTCTCCTCTTACCTGACAAGCACATATCTGAAATAGGGTCTCATCAGGGCAACAAGGAGTAGAGGAAGAGTTACAAGGCTCCTGAACTTAACCACTGAACTCTAATATCACCGCATGGGAGGAGCCCCAGGCAGTGGGGCATCACCAGCATTACAAGGGGTAGAGCCAGATAGCGGTCAGGTGTTGCAGAAAAGGGATACCAAAACTGAGATACTAGGTATGTGTTAGGTGAATTAAGATGCATAACAACTGGTTAGCAAGCATAAAGCAGAACAGAGAGGAAGGTGTGTGTTAATGTGGCTTAGAGTCCCAGGGGGCTCTAATTTTATTAATCTTGACAAAGGTATTCGTGTGTAACAAGATCATTAAACTTTCAGATTAGCAAAACAGGGGGAAGATTAAGATTCACCTGTAGTTGATCAATAGGATACTCTTGATTAAGCAAATAGGCTCAGGGGTGCAATATGAACTTTAATGTGCATACAATAGTGCACTTCATTAAAAACACAGTCGTATCAAGTACACTTGAAACAGAGTTGAATTTGTTAGTGTTAGAAGGAGATCAGCTCAACATTTAAATTCACTGTGCAGAGTGAAAAAAGACTGAGGATGCACTGGATAGACATGGTGAAGAATGATAGAACAAAAAGGTTTAAAGATGAACAAAGCTGTGAAGCTGGTACAAGATAGAAAGTGGTGGAAGGACTTCATTCGGCCCCATTGTCGCTGCTTTAAGAAAAAGTGTTTGAGGTGCTATATGTTTATATTTAGTGAAGAACACCTTGCACTTGCATTGATGTTTGAGGCAGTTCTTAGATACTGTCGGAATTTGCTCCACAGTGTTTACCAGTTCCTGAACCCTGGTCATTAAGCACTTCGAAGATAAGAACGGATATCTTGAACTTCATGCAATATTCTATGGAGAGTCAACATACTGAGGTTATCACACCCTATGCCAACATAGCTGTGCTGGCATAAGCCCCTAAATGTAGATACACCAACAGAAGGTGTTTCCCCGCCCCTGTGATGTAGGAACATCACTTCCCTAAACAACAAACCTGTGGACAGGAGCATTTTTCTGTCAGCATAGCTGCATCTACACAGGTTTTTTTTTGGTCAGCATAGCTATGTAGCTAAGGATTGTGGGTTTTTTTCCATATTTCTGCCCGACACAGATAGACTGGTATAAGTTTTAAGTGTGGAAGACCAGGCCTGAGTAGAGAGCAGATATGATGTGCTCATGATAATTCATGCTGCATTTTCTGATAGCTGAAATTTCTTAAGGGATGATTGTTTGATGCTCAGATAGCTGACTGCATTGCTACAGTCCAGCCAGGAGATAACCTAACCTCCAAAATAAACACCTGCGTTATCATCCGCCAGGACAAAACACAACCTCCTAGCCAACCACACAGTAGAACACGTTACTTGTAACAAGAGCCTAGCTTAATCAAGGAGTTCAAAAGCACTCCAGACAGCCTTGACCATTTGTGGATGTGCAATTCAAAAGGGAATTTGCATCCACAGTGCAATCCCTCAAAGTGTTTTCCTCCACCAATCAACAATGCTGATCTTGCTCTAGGTTTAAGGTTCAACAAGCTTAGGTTTAGGAGCAGCCAACTTTTCTTCATCCATGAACTGATCTTGACCAAGCACTGGGGTAGTTGGTTAACTATATTGTAGGGTTGCCACCTCTGAGGTACACCCGGGATGATGCTGAGCCCATAAAACTGGACAGCTAGCAGAAGGTACTGAGCATCCTTACGGAGTCCCCAGTACAGCTACCTCAAAAAAGGAATGAGCCTGGGAAAACCTGGAGGAGAGGTTGCCACACGAGTATGTTGTATTTTGTGAAGGATAACAAGAGAGTTGTGTAAATCTGAATCACTGATGTTTCTCTGGTACACTTAATGTCTGCATGTAAGTGTTGAAGATGACCAGAGAGAATTGATCCTTATAGGACTCTGTAAGTGAGGTCTTTGATTGCGAGGAGCCATCTCCAATCACTACCTTTTGGATCCATCCTTCCACGGAGGACTCAAGCCATTTTAATAGATTCCCTTGTATACCTTCTTCAGATGGACAACAACATTCTGTGGCTGACTGTGCCAAATTCCGCAGCAAGGTCCAGGAGTATGAAGATGGATGCCTGGGTTTTATGTCTTTTCCTGAATTCAAGTTGTGTTGGGGCTAGGATATCTGCTTTTTCAAGATTTTCGCTCTGGCGCATGTGCACCCATGTTTGGAATTCATATATGGAGCATCACTAGAAGAAGACTCATCGTCCTTTCCCTTTTAAATGTGTTAAAAAACATGAAATGCTAAGATTGCTGAGTCTTAATACACACCATAAAGATTTTTTGCAGTTCTGAACTACTCCTGAATCTGAGTCCTTACCAGATGTTGCTTAAGGGCATGAACAAGACTCCACTGTATATCAACAGCAATATTTTTCGTAAAATTGAAGTGTGTGCTTTCAGCTACAAGACAAAATGCAAGGGTTCACTCGGGCTGGGGGCAAGGAGTACAAGAGATCATCATTGCATGTTCTATAGTGAATGTTGTCAGTAGTGTGTGGTGCTCTGCTTCTTGTTCGATGATGATAACAGTCGGCTGCGTGCGTGTTCCCTCTGTGTGCTGCCCCAGCTCTGCGCAGATAGCTGACACAGCAGACCTCGAGAGAACCCCCAATGACCACAGACTCTAGTAAGGTACGAAGGAACCCGAGCCAGGTTTATTGTCAAACGAAGCACAGTAATAGTTTCCCGTAGACTCTACAAGACATACTACGAATTAGCGCCCCCTGGCAATGGACCGGCTCAGTCAGTGGCGGGACTTTCCACTGCCCCCTAGGCCAGACAAAGATGCGCACTCCAGGACCTTCTTTTATACAGTTACAGGACAGATTACTCATCCCTACTAACATATTGAGGTACAGCCTCTTGGCTCATTAGGGTGCTGTCTCCCCCTTTGATCATGTTGTTTCAGACAAACAGACCTATCCATCATGCTGTACTTTCGACCCTGTCTTCAAGATACACCTGCCTGTTCCTTGTTATGTCTATGGAGTGTCCTTATATCGGACTGTCCAGGTGCCATCTTGGCACAAGTTCCTCTTATTAGCACTTACATGTTAAGCACCTGTTTCTAACAACCTTCTTCTCGTCAACTTCTGAGAGCGGGGCCTGCCTCTGGCTCACAGTCCAGCTTTTGCTTAG